TTACCCTGGTTCTCAGATTTCCCAAAATCCTTCCTTTTTCCCCAGCTTTAGCACTCGCACTAGCAGTCCTAGTATTCAGATGGTACGGGCGGGAAGCTCTCTCATACACCTTGTCAAGGGTTTTAAAAACTTTTCCGGCTAGGTCCTTCTGTAACTCGTCAGTCAACCCCTTCTCAAACCTCTGAGCCTTCAGCTCTTCAGTTGGTACTACCTCAGGAGAAAACCTAGAAAGGGTCATAAACTTATTATAGTACTCAGAGATTGACATGTTTCCCATTTCCAGGCTTATGAACTCCTGAGCCTTCTGTTTCTTCAGGAATGGGGGGGGGGGTAAAACTTGTCCCTCAAGGAGGTCTTAAACACTTCCCACCCAAAGTTAGGTTTGGCCCTAACGGTCACAACATTGTCTCTCCACCATATATCAGCCTCGTCCTTAAGGTACATAGCGTCCTGGTCCACTTTCATACCCTCAGGACAGTTGAGTGCCATGAACAACTTATCAAACTCCCAAATCCAGTTTTCTAGGAAAGTAGGGTCAGCACCTCCCCTAAAAACTGGTGGTCTAACCTGGGCCAGCTTTTTAAACATTTCAGCTTGGGGGTCGACTTGGTCTCCTCGGTTTTGGATCACATTTTCAGCCAACAAACGAATAGCATCAGCTAAGGTAGCGTTCTCGGCCATTCTAGCTCTACGCCTGAAATAAAATAAATATGCACTCTATTTTAAACGAAATCCAAATACTATTCACACATATTAATTGAATCACAATATTATATTTATCACATAAATTGGTTCAAAAGGGCACCTTGAGATTGCACCCCCTTGTCCCAAGCAAAACCACATAATATAAGCACGATTCATACGCAGGATTAAATGAATTTAAGGAGAAAAAAAAAATCCCATCCCGTGACACTCTTATTAAGTTCGATTATAGACAAAGAGATTTCCCCAAAAAGTATATGATTACAAAAATTAAACTTGCTCTTGCTCACAAATAAAAGCGAAATGAAGCTCTTGAAAATAAAACATCAACTTCTTATTATAACTTATATAAAGGTATCAATCCCAAATAAAGACTATGTAGCACTAGCTACTTATTAAAATTAATCATCCAAATCAGACTATAATGAGGTTCTAATAACTATTATCAATGGCAAATGCCTTATTCATGCTAACTCCACCCTAGCAAAAATAATCCTCAAGGTATCACATTATTGTTCTTATCTCTCTTCTCATTGTAATTATTAACATCAAAATCAAGGTCATTTTCGTCATATGTGTCTTCAATAATAATTGACTTGTAGAGCGGATTTGGATTTCTAGTAGCTCTCTTCCCAGCATTTGGATCTTCAGGTGGTGATTGTAACCATTCAAGCTCATCCTCATCTGGAAATTCAATAAGAGTATAATCATGGAACATTCTTTGGTAGGTTTTAATTTTATGCTTCTTATTCTTTGCTGTTTTAAACTCATGTAAGTACTGGTAGTCTTCCTCATCTGGATTAGTTGGCGTCATAATCTTTTCAAACCTTTACACAGTATCGTCACTTCGAGTATCACTCTCATCTTCAGACACAACAATGGGGTTGTTCCTAATATCATTACTCACGCTTTCAGACGTGATTACTGAGTCGCTCATCCTTTTTCTACGTTAACCCAACGCAACGAACATTCAAAAAGCATATCACAAGCACATCATAAAAATAAATCAATTAGAACATAATTATAACATGTTAAATAAATAAGAAAATAACACTTCATGTGATAATTAAATGCAAGAGAGAAAATATGTATGATGTATGCATGCATTCCCTTCTCAAGTCTACCAAAAACTCACCAAGTAGAAAAAAAAAATTCAAATTTATTTTAAATAAAATGGTTTAAAACATACTTAGTTTCAAATGGAAAAAAAAATTGTCATTAAAATTAAAATTTTAAAACATTGAATAGGTGCCTAAGTCATACTAAGCTTATTGGCTTTAGTGGTAATTAAATCTAACCTAAGCTCCCAGATACCACTTTGTAACACCCCAATAATTCTCTCTTAAAAACCAGTGAGAAACCTGTATATAACCTGAACAATTTCAAGAGAATTACTGGTGTGCTACCGCCACGTGTTCAAACGTTAAGGCTATCTCAGAAATTTGCAGCGGAAAACCAAAACAGTTTAAAATAAACCTCAAAACAACGAAATTAAATCAAAATAAGTATTACAAGTTGGAACCATTAAGGCCCTTATTCAAAACCCAATAAAAGTAGTAAGTGATTAAATTTAGAGTTCCAATAAATTCAAACCCAAAGGAATTAGTGTCAACTAAAATCGAATTAAAATAAATTTAAACTTTGCAAAATAAATAATATGGAAACAACCAACTCTCTACTCAAGATCCCACATCCCTGATGAATGCTGCATGTGTAAGAACCTGTGGTTATTCTGCTCCCCAATATTACAAGTGTAAAAACTGGATCGTCACAGGGTCATTGAAAGGCGAAGGCCATGACCAAAGAAAGACACCCACAAAAGCACGCAGTCAGCAAAGCTAAGTACATACAAGCTGCGAAAACAAATTGAGAAAATACCTAACATGCTACTAATATTCAAGTACAAGCATCATTAAATATAGACTCAATTCACGACTCGATTATCAAATTTATTAAGACCTCACTAATTAATATTAACTGACTCGTTTATTTATTTCATTGGATTTAGCAATAGACAAGGTTGTCCAACCCATGTCCCATTTGGAATATCAATAAAGAAAAACCCCATGCCTCCTTTCGGAAACATCAATGAACATCCAACGACCACGGGCGCGACTCCGTGACCGTAGTTAGTATGAGATCTCACCTAACTCCTAGATTTGAAAAATATTTGAAATAAGAGACTCGTAGATCAGACGTCCTCGAGAAAAGTACACGGGTAATACCCCATGTACCCCAACCCCTGATTGTCATTACTCCAGATGTTCACCATTCCAGAGTTTTATTGCTCATCCATCTTGCACTTTACGTGATTTACAGGTTTAGACTTGGTGATGACTCATATACATATCAATACAAACATCCCAAAAGCAATTTAGTCAAATATGGCAAATTCTCAATTTAGATTCTTGATTTATTAGTGACAAACAACATTTATTAATTATTCTATTACTACCTCGGTGTATAAACACCTTGAGTGCATAAGGCACCCCAAAACCTTAACCTCGTCTTACAAGACTTGAATTTCTCCTTTACTCATCCTGTTTACATAATCATGAACGAGTAATAATTTGATCTTTACACCAATCACATACCTTTGCCTTTAAGCGCACCTTGCATAATTAAAGCACAAATAATACTTGCATTATAAACTAGTGCACATCATTTGAAATTCACAATATATAACCAGACAATTTAACCCAGTCAATCCTATACATGATACTAAGTTCTCGATCCGTCCTTAAACATGCACCTACAAGCAAGGTTTCGTATCTTGTACGTACCTTGTGTAAACAATCCGGTTGGCCACTTTAAAACTAGAAGTCGCCTTCTACAAAGTCCTCTTCTAAACCAAACAATTAGGAATAAATCATTACCAAAGCAATTAAAATTACAGCAATACTAAACTACTTTAAAACCTCTTAAATCACCAAAATAAAGTCTTTAGATTGTCCCCAAAAATCAAAGTTAGTAATATAACATCCCAACTTTAAGTTTACATGTTCGAATTATGAAAATATGGTGTTTTATATCAAATTACAGCAACTTTAAAGTGGGTAAATAAATCTCGAATTTTATTTTAAATATATAAAATAACCCCATAAGCATAATTACTTGAATTAGTCATTATATAGCAAGTTAGTGTGTTAAAAACCCAAGAATATATCAATTCAATGAAATTAGAGGCTTCAAAATAAAAGGTATGAAATTTGAAAATTATTTTTAAAGTTAGAATATAAAGTTCAAAGCTTTTTCGATCACAAAATACTCACAATGATTATTTTGTAGGTTTAGAAGCATAAAAACACGAAATTAACACTACTTGTTCATAAAAATTGAAACTTTAATAAATCTGAAAATTTATTTATGATTAAGATAATTATATTTTAATGTAATTTAAACATAGTATGATTAGATAGTTTGTTTAACACGTAATCAAGCCTTAAAACATGAAAAATCAATGTTTTAAACCCTAAAATATGCAAAATACATAATCTGAAATTTTATTTAATAAGTTAGACATACAAAATCCATAAATTTATAATCTTTTGTAATTTATACATACTATTAAAGCCTAATAACAATAATTTTATAATTGAAATCAAATAAAAAATTGAATCTTTAATCAAAATAACAAGAAATAAGAGGAAGAGAAATAGGGGGAAGGAGAAGGGAGGAAGGCGAACTGCAGGGAGGTGGTCGGCTGCTGGGCGGCTGGGCGGTCAGAGGGGCGGCGGTCAGGCAGTGGCCCGGCGGTGCTGGTGGCTGGGCAGCGGTGTAGCTTCGAAGGGTTTTTTTTTCTTCTTGCCGAATGTCGTGAAGAGGGAGGAAGCAAGGAGTGAGTTTTCTTTTTTTTTTTTTCTTACGTGAGAAGGAGGACAAGTGTGGGGAAAATAAGGTGGGTATGATTAATAAGAATTGGGTTTGAGGGTATCCTAATCCAAATATAATTAGGATAACTTGTTTAGGGCCAAATATATACCAAAGCTTAAAAAAACATGTGGTGTAAGGTTGGGCTTTGAGGTAACTTGGACTAGGCTCTTAGTTTGTATGGGTAAAAGGATTATTGTCAATAGTTAGTAGTGGCTAAATAGCTTAAAACTAATTTATTATTTTTGAAATATTTATAAAATTATATAATTATCGTAAAATAATCATATAATTAATAATAAAATATAATTATTATAATTACAAAATCATGGGGGATTACAATATGATGTAGTTTTTGCAAAATTAAAATCAAATGTTTTAATTTTTTTTTTTTTACAATAGCAAATTTTTTCAACCAAAAAAACATCCTAATAATTCGAAAGGGTAGCCCGACATTTTCTAGCAATATCGTCTGCCCTTTGAACTTGGTCTCTTTGAACCTTTATAATTGTGCTTCTCTGAAAGGAGGCACCCACTTCCTTAATTTCCTTCACTAACCAGGTGATCAAAACATCCTTACCTAATTCACTTTGAAGATTGTTGATTAGACCAATGGAGTCCAAAAGGATGAGGATCCCTTGCTTACCCTTTGCCCTTGTCCATTTCATAGCCTCCAAGCAAGCCCATGCCTCAAAATGTAGAGCCGAAGTTGCCACTCCATATTTTCCCCCTTCACTACCCTCATCCCCATTGTCGCCCCCCATGACAGCCCAACCAATCCCTGCTCTTGTTGTTATCTTGTCCCACGAACCATCCACGCTTACAATGAAGCTATCGAAACCAGTTCTTTCTTTTCCTAATTGAACAGCGTTGAAACCCCGGGGGGGGGGGGGGGGGTTGACAATTTTCCCTAGAGTTGTTAACCTCATTGCTCCAATACCCTTACATCTTGCAGAAAGTCTCATGGTCCTACATGGACAAGTTGATAAATTTTGTGACCAAACTAGCCCCCCCATTGGCATTGTTGAAGCTCGTGCATTCCTAGTTTTCCATAGGCCCCATAAGGTAGCAATAAACTTATTTCTACGGGTTCCATAATTACCATCCTCGCTATAGAACAACAGGATATAGTGCTGGATCCACTTTCTTAAATAATTGAATCCAGGAGAGTCAGAGTAAATTGCTAGGGAGCCATTCTCCCAGACCTCCTTTGCTAGATTACATAGTTTAAAAAGATGTTGATTGTCTTCCTCATCCACTCCACAAAACTCACAGATCTCATTAACTTGTATGCCTCTTTTAGCTGAATTACTCTTTACCGCAAGTCCATCATGAAAGAGCTTCCACAGAAAAACCTTCCATTTCGGCTGGATATTCATTCTCCAAATAAGCTTTACAAATTTCTGTTCTTCCAAGGAAAAGGCTAAGAGCCCTGCCCCCCTGTTCCTAGCCAGAAAGTAATAACTAGTTTTAACAGAGAATATACCTGACGGATGGAATTTCCAGTAGAGGAAGTCATCCTTCAAAGAACAGGGAAGATCCATTGCCAGGATTGCTTTTGCGCTATTCCATTCAAAACATTCTCTAACTTTTCCCACTTTCCAAGAAGCAGAGTCCTTGTCAATGAAATCACTAACCTTCCATCGAAGCGAAAATCCTAGAGTTTGATTCGAGTTTGCCACTGGAATTTCCCCATTGACCCAAGGCATTCTAATAGCCATGATGCTTTCCCCATTACCCACTTTCCACACAAAACCTTCCCTGAAAGAGCTAGTTACTTTCTGTAGACTTAACCTTCCCAATGAAGGATAACCTACTCTTGCGTAAGGCTTAGACATATTGCATATCCCACACGGTTGGAACCCTTTATGGACTCTTGAGAGAAAAAGCTGTGGGTTCAGGTGCATCCTTGTTGCCTGTTTAAACAATAGGGCATCATTGAGAATTGACGTACCTCGAATACCTAGACCTCCCTTCCCTTAGGGAGTTGAATCATTGCTCTATTCACACAATACATACCCTTATCAACGTTTTTAGACCACGAGAACCTTGTGATAGATAAGGGAGTCAATTTTATTTGAAATACTTTGTGGTAATTTCAGGCATTTCATGACATGAGTCGAGATACTTACCAACACCGTATTGATTAAAACCAGTTTGGCTGATTGTGATATGTGTAAAGAGGCCCAAGAGACAATCTTCTCTGACACCTTGTCAACCAGGAATTGAAATGAAGAGCTCTTCTTTCCCTGGATATCAATCGGGGTTCCTAGGTGAATCCCCATGTTATCAGTCTCGGCCATAGAAAGGATCCTTTTTAGAGAGTCTCGCTTACTGGTATCAAAACCTGGAGAGAATTTAACAAAAGATTTTTTGTAAATTCAGTTGTTGGCCAGAGGCCCTCCCAAACCTGTGAAGAATGTCCCTGATGAAAGTGCAAGAAGCCTCATTTGCTTTAAAGAAAAGCATGGCATCATCCGTAAAAATAAATGCAAAATAGAAGGAGATCTCCTTGACACACTTAACCCCTTAAGATGATTTATATCTTCTGCCAACGTCAGCATCCTTGAAAGGATATCCATACAGAAGATAAACAGATACGGGGATAGCGGATCCCCTTGTCGAAGACCACAATTAGGTGAGAAGTGATCTGTAGTTTTCCTATTGATGACAGCCTTGAAACTTACTGTTGAGATACACTGTGAAACCATTCTTATCAAGTGGTTAGAGAATACATAAGCTTGCAAAACCTTAAGGAGGAAAACCCAGTCAACTCTGTCATATGCTTTTGACATATCAATCTTCACTGCAGTATAGTTCGATCCCTTTCTTGAATTTATCAGATGCATAAGCTCATGGCTTAGAAGCACATTATCCTCCATGTATCTTCCTGGAATAAAGGCATTTTGGTTCTCAGATATCAGTTTTGGAAGAATTACCTTAATCCTGTTGACCAGACATTTTGAGATACACTTATACACTGTATTGCATAGGTTGATTGGTCTGAATTGGTTTGCTGCTTCTGGAACTTTAACCTTTGGAATTAACACCAGAAGGGATTGATTACATTCCTTCAGCATGTTTCCTGATTTCAGAAATTGGTGAACACTATCAGTTACCAATTGCCCTACATCTTTCCAATATAGGTGGAAAAAATCAGCAGTGAACCCGTCTGGCCCTGGAGACTTTGATTTGTGCATATTGAACATTGCATTTTTGATTTCTTGATCAGTGAAAGGTTTGTCCAGCCAATGTTGATCCTCTAATGAAATAGAGGGGATATCCATTTCCCTTAGAAGAAGATCAACTTCTTCCCCGTGATTATCTGGGATCACCAAGTCATAAACCTTTTTTATGAACGAAAGAACCACCTCCTCCACCTCTTTTTGCCCTTCCACCCACAAATTATTCTCATTTTTCAAAGTTAGGATCTCATTATTTAATTGTCTCTGCTTCACCCTCCTATACATCAAGGGAGTAGGACAATCCCCAAACTTTATCCAACTTGCTTTCATTCTTTGCTTCCAAAAGTCAAAACTTAGTTGGTTCTCTGAGATTTGATGATTTATCTGATGAATATAACCATCCCCTTCTTGAACTGAGTCCACGTTTAATCCCGTACTTTGCATATCTCTTATTGTCTTCCGCCAATTAATACCCCAAATTTTTTTATTTTCCAAGCATAAGTATTGAAGCTTTGATCTTACCAACCTTAGTTTCCTAGCAAGTTGATACATATTCGAACCATGAATCCCGATTTTCCAAGTTGCTTCGACCAGTGCCCTAATTTCCGGAAAGTTGAGACACCAGCTTTCAATTTGGTAAGGCCTATTTGAGGTAGAGGTGTCAAAATGAGAGTGGTAGGTAATTTCTGCATGATCCGAGCAAATTATTGGCTCATGAAGTAATTTACCCTCCGGAGAATGATGGAACCATTCCTTTGTAATATAAGCTCTATCAAGCCTTTCAATAATGAGCCCATTCCCTTCCCTTTTATTACTCCAAGTAAACCTTGGCCCCGAGAAAGGAACTTCCGTTGCATTGCTATTGAATCTCCAATCAAGGAATGCATCAATCCCTCTAATTGTAGTTGAACCTCCCAATTTATCACTTCCACTTTCTCTACTTGATTGAAATCTACTATAACTAGCTTATTTTTTAACTCCTCCAAAAACCATTGGAGTTGTTCCCACACAATTCTTATATTTTCTACTTGAGTCTCACCATAAAGGAACAATACATACTTAACGCTTCCATTAGAATCATTGTTCTTACAAAGGATGAAATTTTTTGAAGAGTACACACATTCTACTACATCATTAGACCAAACTAAAACTAAAAGCCCTCCACTACTTCCATCCGCATTCCAACCAAAACTCGAAGTAGGGTGAAAATTTTCTAATTTACTAGCCGCATTAACAAAGTTCGTCTTAGTTTCCGAGAAAAACATAAACATAGGAAGTTTATAATGATAGAGCCACACTATGTAGGGAATTGCAAGAGAGTGTGGGTCATTAAAACCCCTGCAATTCCACGCCACAACCTTCATGTCTCTTTAGGGGGTTGGCTTGCATTAGCCTTCTCACCCCCGGAAGAGATTCTCATTGAGTCAAGTATCATCATTTGCAAATCAATATCCATAGCTTCCTCAAACCCACGGTAAGCCGAAGTAACTTCTTCACTTTTTTGTCTTTTGAAAGAAGATTCCGAGGAGGAAGAGGAAATATCTTGATGCCGCTTGTTTTTCCTATTTTCTGTATATCATCATCTACCTCAACCCGAACTCACGAGCCATGTCCGGATCCAAAATAGCCTTCGAAGCAAACCTCATGGTTCCATTATCATCTTTTTTCCATATAGCAAAACCCCCTTTTTCTGACCATCGGTGTAGCCGCTTGAATCTTTTCCTTTCAACCCAATCCAAATCAGAATCACTATGACGGATCGAGTCTCCACCACAAGAGTGAGGATAGTTGCCTATTGCTTCCCTTATCCTTTTCCTTGTATTAGCACTATCATCATAATTAAACAAGTCAGTGAAATTAAAAGAGATAAAATGGGATACCGGAGAGTTTGGCGGATCAAACTTGGTTAACGGAAGATTCGACATTCCTTCCAAATCTGAATGAGATAGCTGCAGAAAAGGGCCTGATTTTCCCCTTGCATTTTGATGAATTTCCTGAATTTCTGTGCGCCTAGCCTCTCGAATTTCCAAGGTCAAAATAGTACTAGCTTTCATGATTTGCGCATATTCTTCGTCAGTGAGTTTTTCATCTCCTAAACCCATTGTTGTCGTGACAGTAGGGCTTGAAAAACCCCGAGTCGGAGCGAAATTATTTGCTGAATTTCCACCCCGATTCTGCCCTGCTTCATGCCCAGAATAGCCACATGATTACCTTCGAACATTGCTGAGGATAAGGCCTAATCAGAGATTCCCATAGCATGGAAAATGGTACTCGGACCCCTGCTTGACATTCTCGATTTTGCGCAGATGAGGATTCCCCAACTTTAAAGGTTGAATCGGCAAAAAGTTGTCTCGGACGAAGGGGGTCTGTTTGAAGCTTGCGGGTTCAGAGCCTGCGGAGTTTTTGGCCTATCATGGCCCAAATCAGCACCTCCCTGAGTATCACATTGCACCTGTGATTTCCCCCACCCCCAAAAGGGGCTTCCCTATTTGTGTTCCCCTGCTGAGTTTGATTAAACTCAGCATACGGGTCATCCCCCAATCCCAACCTCCAGCCAGGTGAGAGGCAGAGTTGGGGTTCCACCGGTGCATCTTCCCTTTCAATAATTTCAGAATCCTCATTCGACAACTCCTCCTCCCCTGTATGATAGCGTTCGCTATCCTCGCTTGTCGGAGGAGATGGGGTTGTTCGTTAGAATAAAAAGGATATTCAGCAGGACCGTACAATACCCGAATGCCATCCGCTTCTACTTCGTCAAGTCTACGCCGCACCCTTCTTCTAGCTGTTCTTGGGTGGTGGCGACATCGAAAAATTGAATGCCCAGCACACCCACACGATTTGCAAAATTTAAAGATACCCTCTGTAGACACCCATTTGTGTCTCCCCAAAACCAAACCCAGTGATGAGTACCTTTCACGTCAAATCATAATCGAATGAAACGAAAGTGTGGAAAGTCTAGTGTTGCGGAAAGTTTTAATTTCTTTTCTCTTCTCTCTGTTTTTGAAAACTTATTTTAAGAAAACAGCCAATCCAGTTTGGCTGGTCCATGATATGGGTCCAATAGTAGTGTCGTTGGATGGGGCTTGAAAAGACCTTTCTAACGATATATTATAAGCCCAATTCCGATGAATATTGAGGAAGTTATGGCCAATTTACCAAATTGGGCCCGATTTGAGCTTTATGTACGGCCCAATGATCTAGAAGAGGGCCTAATATGATTTCTCATTCCTAATGCAATGAGGAATGGTTTTAGTCTTCTAGAATCTTCTAGAAGGTTCTTTTCATTCCTATTTCAATTAGCATTGATAAATTGACTTTTGACTTTTTAGAGTTTTAATCGAAATCAAATAGCATTTTTGAGAAAATTATATAATTTTATCCTTCAGTACGGTAAACTTATCGGATTTTCGAAAACGCGTTGGTATCAGGCTTGGCGCCTAACCCCAAGCCTTGGCGCCTGGAACCAGGCCTGGCGCTAGCCATTGGCGCCTGGCGCTGGTGTTGGTGCCTGACGCCAGCTAGCCAGGGTTGGCGCCAGCTCTGTTTTCTGAGCGTCAGACTCTAGAAAGAGGTAATTAGAAAGAGGTACGAAGCATCAAAGTAAGTACTTTAATGGTTTAATTGATGTTATGATGTAGAAATCATGTTTACATTGTTATTATGATATTCCTAGTATCATGTCTAGGGTAATTTTAATATTATATATGATTGTTATGATGCTTCCTATGTTCTTCCTAATATTTATGATTGTTAGTATCATGTTAGGGCTAAAGATTTGATTTTTATTGCTTAGTGACATGATAGGGTTTGTTATTAATCTTGTTAGTATCATGCCTAGGATCTTGCTATTTTTATTATGCTTTAATATTAACATGAATATGATTGTGATTATAATGATTGTAATTTATGATGATTATGAATATTATGATTATTATTATTTTGATGATGATTATATTGTTATTGTCATGATTATGATTATTTATTTTGTTGCTTGATTTTATTTATTGTTATTGCTTGATCACACCTTTATGCATGTTTAAAGGGAATTTGTACTTGTAATCACGATTAGTAAGATATTTAATAATCTTGTTAGGGTTAATTTGATTATAATTTCAAGTGATCGCCAATAATAGATTTATTTGTGCATTAAATTCAACCAACATAGATAAACAGGTTTAGGGTTAATCCTATTGATTGCATGTTAATTAAAAAGCGCACATGAATACGATCAGAATAAAGTAGAGGCCTATTATTAGGGCAGGTTCAATCTCTTTTAGGTTGGAATTGTACCTTCATCCCCAAACCCTTATTTGGTTCTAGACCTTACGGAGTTGACGATCTCTTGGATCGTTAAGGGGTGTAACCTTCACCTCGTGAACGGTTTACAAGTTCCTAAAAAAACTTGTTGGCGACTCTTTTGCTCTATCTTCTTCCCTTTTGGACGCCACCGTACTTTAGTGTATGATCACAGTGGGGTTCAAGCTAGTGGGATTAAGGCTTGAAATTATTCCCTACAGTTTTTGGCGACTCCACTGGGGAGGATTTCTATTTTAATTCCTGAATTTGTTTCGGCAATGATTTAGAATGAGTGGATGAGACGCGAAAAGTTCTAAGTATTTCATGTGCTTAATTTTGATTAACATTATTGTCATATGCATAAAAAAAGATCTCATTGGAAAGACCATCCGTAGTGAGTTAAAAACATAGGATTTTACACGTAGGAAATTTGAGGAATGTCTTTCACAACTAGGACCGAAATAACACCGCGCGAAACTGGAAAATTTTATCGAGCACAGAAAGCTGCTGAGGCATGTGGGAAGTAGCGTCAGGGGCCAGAGCTTGGCGCCAGACTTTTAGCCATAGCGCCAGACACCAGTATTGGCGCCAGGCGCTACAGTTAAAAACTGGCGCCAATCTCTGATTGCTGGCACCAATTTCCCCCAATACCGAGCCAGAAATATGCGTTCTAATTTCGACCGGTTTTTCGTATTGTTTGTTCGATCCTACTTCCTGATTGAATTTTTTCTCATTTTTCTGAAACCCATATGTGTTCTACATATGGACATAACTCTCTGGGAATTCATGCTCCATCTACCTGATTGAACGCTCTGTGCAACAAAGGGTACATCCGAGATGTTGAATTCACCAAACCATGGAAGCGAGTTTTTTCTAAAACTCGCGGTGTCCCATCCACTCGCGCCAACCCTTCACGGTTAGGCTTCCGCGCGGTGCATCCGGACAATTAACCATGGACCCCTCTATTGACTAAACCATATCCCGAACTTTAGAGAACTAGAGCCATGGTTAGGTTGTGAACTCATTGCATCATGTTGTGCCTACTTGACTAATTGTGCATTATTTGTTGTGCATATATATTCTATGTTTCTCTTAACCGTTTGTTGACTTGTGTTGATACTAAATCAATTAATGACTTAAAGAACTTT